TAAGGGTCACAAATGGGGCTACCCTATATATAGCTGGATGGTTATTTCATGGAAAATCCCAATCCAAAATGGATGGTTTAGGTTTTAGGTGTAGCCCTATTTTAGGAAACCTCCATTTGATGACAAGAATTGAAGCGTCTAAGCTCGGAGAGATGAAGGAGAGATGTTCACCCGATGGTTCATGATGATTCCAGCTTGTTTCAAACATCAAACATCTTTAAAAAAAAACAGCAATGTCAAGCATATGTCTAACAGATCTGTTGCTAAGTCATGTCCTTTCTTGCGTGGAATCCCTAGTCTTGGTAAATCTCCCGATCGAATCTTCGGCCTGGGGCGTGCCCAGGTCTTCAGTCGTCTCTTCTACGGGCACCTCAGCAGTCGAAGCTGGCAGAAATGATAAGATTGTGATTCTGCGACTTGGCAATATTTTGATGCATTTTGCATACAATAAAATATTACATATATATAATTATAATATATATATATATACACACAATTAATTATACGTATATGTAATGTAATGATATATATATGTGTATATGTATATATATATATATATGTGTGTGTGTATACATATATATATATATGTGTGTATACATATATATATACATATACATATATATATATTATATGTATATGTTTTCCACAAAAGACACACTTCCAGGGGTTCCAATACATGAGGGATCATGAGGGGCTTATTGTGGACGAGATGGGAAAACTGGATGGTTAAACCCATGTTAAACCCATAGTGTTTACCCATAAGACATCCCCCCAAAAAGGAACGATGCGAAAAACCCGGCGTTCCAAAGAAGGGCCCCAGGGACGTCAAAGCCGCGCTTGATGGCCACCACATCCTTGGCCTTGTAGCGGTTCTCCTTGACGTCGCGGACCTGGGCAAGGGAAAAACCCATCAAAATGGCAACATGTTCCCATCTGAAATGGAGATGTACCCTCTGGTTATGTCTAAATAGCTATGGAAAATGACCATTTATAGTGAGTTTTCCCATTAAAAATGGTGGATCTTTCCATAGTTACGTTAGTTTACCAGAGGGTAAGCTCATTTCACCAAGCAAAATTTTAAAAAAAAAACGTTACCAAGATGCTCAGGCAGGAAAGCTGGCATTCCATGATATTCCATGACATTCAACCCCCAACTTCAATAGTTTGCATCATCTCTACAGGGGTTAAGCACCAACCACCATTTCCAGTCATGTTTCCTCCACGTTGGGAAATATCAAAGACCCCTACTTCCGCGGAAAGTTTTCATATATTGCCACATATGTACATGTGTATGTATATATATATATAGAAATAAACCATTATCGACAGTATGTAAAGGACCTGCTGGCAACACGCGGAAACCCCCAAGCCTCCATGATCACGTCATCCTTCGTCAAAACGGACCAAATGCAAATCTTCCCTCAAGAGGATCGAGGTTGGTTGAGGGTTGCCATTAGTGATCTTCCCATTGAGAATTTGGGATTTAACGAACCAAATATTGAAAAGTTATTTTTACCAAACCAAAATTTTGGAAATGGCGATTTTAACCAACCAAAAATTCGAAACTACATATAATCTTAAATGAGTGAAAGATAGATGGATAGACAAATAGAACAAAATAGATTACTGGATGGACGGATTGATGGGCTATCGGCTAGTGTGGAGTTCAGTAGGTGAGCCTAGGAGGATTGCATAGATTCATGGATAGCTAGATGGAATTTGATAACAAAGTTCGAAAGCACGTTGTTGGCAACCCAACCTGTAGCTGTGACGCTGGAGCTGTTTTTAGGATGTGTTGGTATAAGAAACCCATGGTTTTTCGGCTGGTTTTTTCAGAGTTTGCCCAAGCCAATCCCCAGTTCAGAACCAAATGGTTGTCCGGAGTTTCATGTGTTTTTTTGTTAACCTCCGGCCTTGCTTATGTGTATAGGTATGGTAAATATGATATCTGTTTGTATATCATATTCATGTATACATATATTATGTATGTATATCATTCACTGATATAGATATAGTTTTTATCATGTGCATGTGAGATAATATGTACATATGTACAAAGGATGCGTGTATGTATATATATATATGTATACATTGCATGTATTTATACATATGTAGTATATATACATACAAATATATCATATATGTATGTATAATTAAGTGTGCACCTGGGCGCGAGTGTGCAGCTGGTAGCCTCAACAAATCTGCGGATTTACCTCTGGAATGACCCCCATGTGGATTTAACCTCAGAACTCACAACCAGAGTGTTGGATAGTGCATGTATATATATATACATGTGATACGACGAAAAAAATATACATATTTTACACAATATATATATAGTATAATACAGTATATTGAATATACATGATGCAAATATATTGTATTTATCTATACATATGATATATGTATATGTGAATGGTGTGTACAAATACGTATATGTTATGATATAATGTGGTATAATATGATAAAGTGATATAAACCATGTACATGTACATGTACATTTACAAATATACACACGCAAATGCCTACACATAGACACAAACACGGACATAGACACAGACACAAACACAAACATGTATATGATGCATATGCATATGCTATACATCGATTCAATATACTGTGTCTGTATAAGGTGGAGATATCACTGTTCAATATTGTTCCGAGATGATGGTCTCATTTTTAAAAGGCTTAGAGGCACCCCTGTGGCGAAATATATCATTGTAACGTTGGCTTAAATCATCCACCATCCAAAAAATTGCTAATTTAAGTTTACATCCCATTTTGATGGTAAAACATGTAACACATTGATCCCTTTTCCTGGTAAAACGCAGTGTTTCACATCACAAAAATCAGTACCAAAAAGGCCAAGTTGCTGTCGTTCTTGAGACGCACCACATCTCCGGGCTGCAGGTCTCCCTTCTTCCTCGTCCGACCCGGCAAAGAATGAGAAACAAAAAACAAATTACTGAATGTACAAAATGATTGATGGGTGGTTATATAATATGAGCGTAATGAAACTTTGTTGGATCTTGAAGTTATTGATGGGAAACACCTGATGATCCGATTTGTTTTTTAAACCAACATTATCAACGAGGAAGAGACCACCCAAAATTACAACTCTCACTGAATGGATAATGGCCAATATCATCCCTTCCCCCGATCACAAATATATAAATAGATTCAGTCATACAAATCATGGTCTTTGGGATTAGTCAACCAGCAACATTGGAAGAGGGAGGAAGAAAATTGAGAGATCGCCGATGGCATGCGATTTAGGTGCTACCAGTAGCAGCCAGTGAAGTCGTTTGTTTTATATACCCTCTGGTTATTTAACATAGCCATGGAAAATGGCCCATTTATAGATGGTTTACCTGGGTTTACCTATTAAAAATGGTGATTTTCCATGGCTATGTTAAATAACCAGATGGTAACTACCCCAGGTCCAAAACGAGGCAAGGCTCCACTGCTCGCCCTCAATAAGATGTGCAACCCGGCACATGGCCACCCTTGCGTGGCTCTTCTTGTTCCTGTGCGGGTTTCAGCAGCTGGGGATGTGGGAATGGGTCAAAACCCTGGTACCTAGTGAACCCCAAAATAGCTGGTAAATGGATGTTCATCCCACTAAAAATGGTATCTATAGGTATTGACCCATACCCGTGTGCGGTTTGTGTTTAGATTCCAGCTGAAGAGTCTCAAGAACAGAAATGAAGAAGCAAAACCAAGGCCGAAAGGGAGGGAAATCACTGCTCCATGTCACCATGTATGAGCAAACCACGAAATTGCTGGACCACGAAATCAGTGGCTGCTTCTGGGATTACTTCGGAGTCTTCAAATCGGTCAACCTGGGGATCCAAGGTACCATGATTTTTCACAAGTACAATGTACACTTCCTGAATTGAAAATCAAAGTGTCTCAATTATATCCAACAGGGCAGTCATCAAACCAGATGAAGTCATGGTTGTTTGAACTCACCAATCAGTTTTTTGCCAAGTGTGTTTTTCCTTTGAAGGTCTAGCAACATGCTCTCCACCAAGCCCAAGCGTCAACTTGACATGGAGAGCATCGATGACGGACTCAACCGTCGCTTTCATCCTGGGATGTGCGGGGGATCCGTCGTTCCTAGTGCCCAAATGGCCATACCATAAATGATAAAAAATGATGATCATCTGGTAGCTACCCTCTGGTAAACTAACATAACTATGGAAAATCACCATTTTCAATGGGTAAATCCACTATAAATGGCAATTTTCAATAGCTATGTTAAATTACCAGAGGGTACCATAAATGATGATAAAAATGTATGATGGATACCCTTCACCAAGGGATGTCCACCCGAAATAGGCTCAGCACGCCTATTAACTCCCATGGGGTTCATATCATCGGGGGAAAAACGCACGTTGAATCACGTTGACCCATCCGCATTTGTGATTGCAAAATATGGTTGAACAATCAACTCACAATCTTTCAAAGGCTACAGCATATTAACCTTTACGAACCTGTATGTCTCCCAAACGAATTCTGGTGAGGCATCTGAAATCTGACCCCACGAGTTCAAGGCAGGTGTCCAGCCGCGGTGAGAGAAGTAAAACACTTGACGACCAACCAGTGCCTCGAGGGAGCAGGCATCCAATGATTTTCCCCCTGATTTAGCAGTTTTCTATGGAAAATTGCCCGTTACCATACGAGGCACAGAACATGGAGGAATATTCGCTGACACAGGCCCCCATTTTATGTACCTGATATGTCTCTTGAGCAGGGTTGGGTCGATTACTGTAAACAACTTGAACGTTTCCAAGGATGGTCATGGCATTCTCATGTATTTTGCTGGGATGGGATTGACACCCTTGGGCCAAGTGAAATTCCAAAATGGGTCAGCTTGCTGTTGATTTTTGCAGAACTCGATGGGTTCTACACCCATTGCTATTCTGCTGTTACCGGACAGAATTCAAGCCGATAAAGCTAATTCTACCTGACCTGTTCGCATTTGTATCAGTCATGTTCTACTCTGGGCGCCAAGCTGCCTTTGCCTTTGCCATGCTTGCCGCCGAATCGTTGGCTGCCGTGCCCTCGCGTCCTCGTGCCAAGCTGGAGGCGTTGGCTTTGCGGCTGATGTAGATGTCAACGCAGCCGCCTTGGTTGTTGTCCTGCCAAGACGAAACAAAAAGGCACAGCCCAAAGAACAAACAAGTTGATAGTGTCTACTATACGAATGCGTATACTATACGAATGTGTAACAGTCAATCGAACAAGTAAACAGTATGTAGAACAGAAGGTAAAATATGCACTGTGACTAACGAGTAGTACATATTAGCAGAATATCACACTGATTTTTAGTGTATATATATATACTGAATATATATATATATATATTCAGAACAGGAACAATATCACAAACATATAATGAATTATATATATATCATCTGTAGAGCATCAATCCCGTGTGTGGTTGGAAAATCATAAAGCCCCTGTTTACTGATGATATTGGAGGACTGCTGTACATAGTCTATACCAAGATCCGAATCAAAATATGCCAAAGTAATGATCTGGATCAAAAACTTGGTACAGTACAGTACCCTGTAGTTAGCATTAAAGTAGTTGATAAGTGGATATTCAACCTGTCAACATATGCTACGAGTATCATAGGTGTTCACCCCGATATCACACAACACATGTACATCTTCACCATGAATGGTAGTGGAGTCGCAAAGCATCATTTTGGATAATCGTGGTAAAACAATAACAAACCATCCCCCAAATCACCATTTTTATGGGTGGTATGTTTACCATTCCCAGTCATGTGGTAAAAATGGCATTGTTTTAGCCCCAACCAACTTTCTGTATATCATCATATATCATCATATGTTCATTAAAATCCCTTGCTAGTGATGTGTAAGTCATTGGATCACCAAGAAATCTTATAATCATGATATCACATGCTATCATCATCCATCATCTTGACATATCTTGATATCAAGCCATCAAAATTCCCCAGAGCCATTTGGAGGTTTCCTAAAATGAGGGTACCCCCAAATCATCCAGCTATTGGGGTATCCCCATTTCTGGAAATCCCCATTTGAGCCACGGTCAATACTCACTATATGGTTGATGGTCATCCCATCCATAATAAGGATCCTAAAATAATGGTTATTGTAAATCCCATTAAATCACCATTGGATGACTAGCCCCGTTTTTAATGGTTATTAACCATGAGTATTGACCATAGCTCATTTGATGTTGGCAGCAGACTCTCCTGACTTGCCATCGGCTGGAGCCCCGGATGCATCGGTTCGGTGTCCGTCAACTGCGCCATCTGCACCGGAGGCACCGGCGCAGGGGAGTCTCTGCGGCGCCAGTCGTTGTCCATGGCTGCATTGGATTGCCTGTGGCTGCCGACCCGGTCACTTAAACATGGGTCATTAAATGTCCCCATTGAACATCACCCAACCATTAGGTATATGGTCTATATAAGACTAAGTCATGGTATAATCATTGGATTGGTTTGTTGGGGAAAATCTTAACCGGAAACCCATGGGTTTTTACCATCAAATTGATCGGGCTTTCCGGTTAAAATTTTCCCATCATCCAATTCTATGAGGTCACTTAAAGGATCAACCATGGGCCATGGGATGAACAAGAAGTTGAAGCCCAAGAAGACAAAGACGCAAGGCTTTAATTGGCAAATGAAAATTCTATGAACATGGATGGACATGGAGGGTGGACCATCCAAAATCAGGGTCAGGGTTCACTGTTCCATGTATATCTATCCTGCAACCCACAACGGTGCGCCCCTGTGCTTCAACCGTCAACTTCCACCAGCCGCCTCGAGTGCATCATGTAATCATTGCCGCCCCAGCCCCACTGCGGCTGCCTCAGACGCCAAGGGCCCCAGGCGGAGCTAGGCGAGGCCGTCTGAGAGTCTTCCACAGTTGAAAGAGTCACTATTCATTAGTTACTATGTCGTGGAATCTACCATATTATATACATATTATACTGTATATAAAATTATAGGCGCCAAGGTGCGGCCAGGGCTGCCAACTGTTGTGCCATCCGTTGTGTCCGCCGTGCCCATGTCCTCCTGCATTACCATGGCCACCGCCATTCCAATTTTGGCGGTGGCGATTGTTTCTGTTGCGCCCGTTGTTGCCATGTCCCTGCCTCAAAATGTGCGAAGGCTGCTGGAAAATTGGTGAAATCTCGAGAGATAATTTTTTGGGAATGGAATGAAAGGAATGGATCGACAAAACTGGGTGCGAACTTTGGAAGTTCAGAGCTGTAAAACCCCGTTTTAGAAACCCCCTACGAAAAGATACAATAAAGATACAATACAGTACCGGCTCCAAGATATGGAAATCCCAGGGGTTGGTGACCAAGACACTGTTGAGGCCGCTGCTGTTGCTGAGCCTGCAGTCGATTTGGGGGTATTCCCCATCTCTGGACAAAGCCGTTTGATGGGTCAATACCGACCGGACAGTGGTGGGATGAACATCCATTTGCATCATTTACCAGCTATCTTGGTGTGAGAAGCATGATACTGGCGCCAGGCCTAAACCCATTTGGCCCATTTCTGCAGTCAAACCTTCCTTTTCATGGGGAGAAATCACCAGCTTTTCATGGAAATTCAATCAAAATTCCCCAGTTTGAGATGTTGAACCGCACCCCAAGTTCCCAGGACCAGGGCCGGAGCCCAGCCCCTGCCTGGTGTCCCTGCCGTGCGTCCCATGCCCCGGTAGCTCCCTGCTGTGGCTGTTGCTGCCACTGCATCTGATTATTGCCGTTCCACTGCCCCTGTTGCATTGGCATTGCCATGATCATGAACCTGAGATGAGCAGCGTTGAACCTTTGTGAAACCTTTCGAAGGTGAACATAGGGGCCCGAAGTTGAACATGGACCATTTTTGGGGGTTGTTTGGGCATATGTGTTTTCCGGATCTGTTCCATTCGACTGTGGGTCTGTGTGAAAGGCGCAGGTCTAAGGCACGTCTTTTGCCAAAGCGCGCCGTAAAACGGTAAAACCGTAAAATGGTAAATTCCATTGTTCCCCAGAAACGCTCCGTAAAACAGTAAATTTGTAAATTTACGATCTGAACGTGCCGCTTTCGGAGCGTAAAACGGTAAATTTGGTAAATTTGCAAAATTTGCCGTGAGCCCGTAAAACCGTAAATGGGTAAATTTATGTTTTTTCGCGGACAACGTGAACAGGAGAAGAGGATAAAGCCGTAAAATGCATCAATGCACTACAGCGTGAGGAGGAAGAGGCGGTAAAAACCGTAAAGTGGTCGTAAAGTTGTATTATGATACTACGAGGTTAAAATTTAACGAATATACCTTTGCCCGGACGCAACAAATTTACCACTTTACCGATTTACCCAATTTTACGGCAAAACCGTAAAAATGTAAATTCGTAAAATTGTATCGTGATGCTACGAGCTTAGAATTTACAGATTTAACCTTTGCCCGGACGCAACAAAATTCACCACTTTGCCGCTTTACCCAATTTACCATGGCCCGAAGAGCAGCGAAATTTACCAATTTACCGATTTACCAAATTTACCATTGCCCGGAGAGCGCTCTCTCCTTAGCATCATGTCTTACACATTGACGGCTTAGTGTGCTGTATCAATGTACATGGCGCATACTGAACAGGACCTAGATGTTCGTTGGTCTGCTGTGAGGTTATGTAATCGCCCGCTCCCTCGTAAAATGTTTTCCTGGTATATACATGTTAACATTTGGCTGCCACACCCAAAATGAGGTTCCTTGCAAATTTCAAAACGATTGGATAAGTTTTCTTGATTAAGGAATGTTAAGGACAGTGTTCAAAATGCCATTTTTGGAATGTTGGCTTGAAGAAAAGGTTCCTGCCCAGAATGCGTGGATCTTTTACATTCCACAAACGCATATACAAAAGGAACATTCATCAAAAACATGTGGGTTGGCACTGACACCGAATCTCCTAAATAGTGAGGGAAAAACATACAATTCACCCCAGAAACCTTAAGATAGACCAAAAACATCCAAAAACAATGCTTTTTGTAGTTTTGTTTCACCACCAGCTGAGGGACATGAACGAAACATAATGTTTTAGATAAAGCCCTCACACCCAGCCCAAGTGTGAAAGGTTGAACGTGTGACCTCAAGAACCAGCAGTGCGGGTAAGATACCTTTTACGCCAGTTCTTGAGCCAAAAGTCAAGTTGCAACAGCAAAATGGGTTGAATGACACGTGTACATAAAGGACGTCATCACATGTGGTGATTTTACACACAAATCAATAACTCCACCCTCGTGCTGTACATGTACACGGTCAAACAATTCCTGGGACCATGGCAAAGGTTTGCCTGGCCAATTTCTACATCTTCTTTGAATTCATCCGTAAGGAGCGAGACATAGTTGTTGGAGAGTTTGTTGCATTCGGCCTGGCCAATGACCTTTGTGAACCCATTGGCTAACTGAGCAGTTGTCTCACAGTAATCTAAGTCAAATATGCCCTGATCCAACTGTTCGTGGATTGAAGCAACATTGACTCTGTGTACTCGTCCGGAATGACGGAGTTTTGCACTGTATCCAGACTGGATAACTGTGATGGCAGCCTGATTATCCTGTTGAAAGGAAACAGGTACATGTACTTCAGTTAAAGATTCAACCATTGTGTGCAAGTTAAGTGCTTCGCCGAACAACGCGCTTGGGGATGCAATAAGCTCCGCTTCTGTTGTACTCCTTGCGGTTGAACTCTGTTTCTTTGATGACCATAATAATGGGAAACATGCTGAACCAGTTCGAAGGACAAAAACAACACCAGAAGTACTTTTTGATGTGTATGGGCAGGATGCAAAGTCGCTGTCAGTGTATACCAGCAACGTCGGTGCTTGGTCAGGTTCAACTGCAGCACGCATGACATACTCGCATGTTGAGTTCAGGTAACTCACAAGTCGCAACATCTGCCTATCTTCCCACTTGGTCCAACGAGTGATCCGACTAGCTAATCGTTGTACTGCAAAACTAATGTCAGGTCTGGCAAGACGTGACAACCAGAGGCATTTCATCAAGATTCTTGCAGCGAATGCATGCATCTCACCCTCATGAGCCAGTTCCTCATCTGTCGTCTGATTCTCCAGCAAACACGGCGTGCTCGCTTTACGGAGCTTCTCTTGTCTCATGCCAGTAATTTCGCAGTAAAAGCTAATTATCCCTTTTGAATATGATCTCATATCATATGTCATTACTACTTGTGTTGGGTTCCTTTGAATTTAGTGCACCCGACCAAGAATCTTCACACCATCCCCATCAATATACTGTTCAGGATCAATTTTCACTCTGAACTTCAAATCCTTCCAAAATTGTGTTTGGACTTCCTTGTTCCCCCTGCTAAGGTAAGGTCGTCGACATAAATGTTTAGGATGAGTGTGTGTTCAGAGTTGTCACCATACCTCAAAATAAAATTGGACGGGTATGATTCGAGTGGGACACCACCCATTTCTTGGAGCTGTGTCTCGAGAAAATTCTGCCACAGATTTCCACTTTGTGGATGACCATAAAGAGATTTTATCAGCTTCACAGCCAACTTTGTGTTTGGGTCATACTGTTTTTTCCATTCTGGTAACCATAGCTCGAAGGGTAAGATAACCCACGTGTTGCCATCCAGCTTGCATTTCCGGGATTTCCCCTACCACCTCCACCACCTTTACCTCTTCCAGCATCTGACGAACTGCTGCTCGATCCTCCAGATGACTGTGGTCCTGATGGCCGTGGTGCAGCCGATGTCGATGGAGTAGGCTTACTCGGTGTATTGGTGATTGATGGATTAAACCCGGCACATGCAGACATTTGGGACAATGGGGAATTGTGTCCAACTGGAGTGTACAAAGGAATCGGTACAGGCGATGGCACTGTGGCCTGACCTTGTAGCATGCGAATCTCATTCCTCAACTGCATGACCACCTGCATTAATTCACCATCATTCACTGCACCATTTCGGGATTGAGGTTAAGATGATGTACGCAAAAGGTCAACTTGCTCTCCCATGCATTACCGATCGCCTCTCCCTTTGTTCATCCTTTTGGAATTGTAGCTGAACACTTTGATCATGGATTGTTTGCATCAAACTCGCATTTTCATTCACAGCCTTATTCAATTGTTCTTGGGCTATCCGATGAGCATAATTTGCAACAGCCTGCATCTGATCCATTTCACTTTGGCGTTTCAACTGCAGATCTTGTATCAAGTCATGGGCCCTCCGCTCAACAGAATGGACATGCGACTGAGCTTGATGGTGAACCTCACTGACCTGATTTCTCATAGCAGTTATTTCACTTGCAGATTGGGATCTGGCTTCATTCACGGCTGCATGAGCTTGCGAAATGATAGTAGCCTCTCGTTCGATCACATGTTCAGGGGAAACGCCAAGTGTCACTTGTAAAACCCTCTGATCCTCATTGTGAGTAGAGGATCTTTGATCCTGATTCACCTGAGAATGATACTCATGTTGATGAGTCACTGACCTTTGGTCTTGGTTCACCTGCAACACCCTCTGATCATCATGATGGGTGATCGATCTTTGATCATACAAATGCACAGCCCCTGGACCCCGATGTGTGACCACTGATCGACCGGACGGAGGTCTGGATGAACTATGGCTACTGCTTCTGGACGACCCTTCTGGACTTCTTTTGCAGTTCTTTCGAACGTGTAATGCACATGATGGTGGGGGTTGTTCAGGAGATGTTGATGATACTTGCAACGACTCAGAAGTATCCATCTCCCCACCAGGCATGATTTCATGTATTTGGGGCATAACGAGAACTCACTAAACTACCACAAATGAACGCACCTGCAGTAGGGTTCGCCGGTCACACCCTTTTGTTCCACAAGCGGTGTTGCCGATCGGCAGCGCCCCGCTGAGTTCAGAGTAAAATACAGTCACTGTCTTGTGATTTGCACTTTAAACTGGTTTGGATTGACTTTGTTATTTGATGTTGTTGCACAAGGTTAGGGACAGTCAACTAGAATGGATCCTGGTACTCTTTGAGAACGAATCACAAGCAGCGAGTCACCCACCTATTGTACTTATAATCTATTTCAACCAGTATGCCACAGAGCAAATATGATCCACGGCTTGGGACAGATTCCAAACCGATGGGATATTTTGCCCACCAACACCAGGCTTACGGGGCACCTTCACGTGGCAAGAAGCAAAATGGTCAGCTCGGGCTCGATTGAATTCCACACAGACCTGTGCCCTGTCGTCTATGTGAAGTAAAGAACTGCGAGTTTCAGGATCAAATAGATGCCTCAGGCAATCAAGTTTCCCTCCCCAGCCAACTGCGTCTTCCTGACAAAGCACGATCTTGTCAATTGGCAGTGTTGAAGATTGGCGAGCAACTTGTTGCTTTCTCCACTCCGAATGCACGTGGCCCTGAATCCTGTATCCCAAGCGCTGAACTGCACGTCTGTTCTCAAGAGCAATTCCGTTGTCTCGTGACGTCGGACGGATTACATGGTTACTGGAGATTCGATGGACGTCTATCACCTGATGGAAATCAATCGAAATGATAGTCACACCCCAGTTCAGCAGCCTCTGTGGAAATGCGAATTGGCCGTCAGTGTTGAATACTGAGCACTTGCCTCTTCGCAATTGTTCTTGATCAACTGCTGGCCTGAGAGTGATTGACCTATCCACCCCTGATGATCTTGATGTTGCAGCCGCCTTCACTGAAACAATTCCGATCTCTGGGGTTTCGATTGGGAGTTCTGGATGATATAGATGATTTTGACTTTGCGACCGCTTTTGCTTTGGTTGTTGCACCCACAGCTGAGGATGATGCTGCTTCACCTGAGATTCTTGCCGGTGGTGGTGGTGGTGCACTTCAAGATGCTGCCTTCGCCTTTGGCACTGCACGCAAGTCTGATACCACCACACTTGAAGCTCTTGGCACCACTCTCGAAGATGAAGATGACCCTGGCGGTGGATGATCCGGCTCACGAGGCCGCCTCGGCGGTGAGTGGTCCGGCTCCGGTGGTCGCCACTGAGAATCCTCCTCCTCTTCTTCCTCCGACTGATCCTGGGGTGGGTACACAGTCTCAGCGTACTCCGACTCAAGATCCGAATCTTCAGCACGCAGCAGGACAGGTTCACCTTGTCTCGGAAACCACCTGTTGTGCTTCACTGCAGTCCACGTATCAGAGATCTGTGTCTGTCTTCTGACGTGAGATGCAGCGCGTCCAGATGCGTCCACAGCGAACTGGATGATATACAGATAGTATTCCAACAACGTCAATAGCAAACTCTTACTTGTCCTCTTATGCTGTTTTCCCCGACGGTTCCTTCACTGTTCGTTCAAGAGGCGAGCAATGTCACCAACAGGCACTACTGGGCTTCTGGATCTACGCCTGTAATCTGAAGGTCCTGAGCTCATTCAAAACAAACAACGCAGCCGCGGGTTGCGGTGAAACAAAGTCTTGCAGTAGCGGGTCGCGGTGAAACACAAGTGTAACTCGAGCCCGCAACGCGCAGCAATGACCTTGTCTTGGATTCTTTCCGAACTTTGTTCAGCTGCTTGAGTTCTCATAAAAAGCTTCCTTTGGAATGACTCGTGGAGATCGGCAAAATGCACTTATCAAGCAACTCTTTGTTTTCTGTATTTATTCCGGTGCTGCAAAGGGTGCCAGCGCCCCGGGGACTAATGATCTGGTTTATTGGATTAAGGCTCAACCCTAATTGGCGATCACTCAATCCTAGATTATGGAGGTTATAAGCTTTACGGATTAGCCGGTGTTGCCTGCTGGCAGCGCCCCGGCAGTCAAGCACAGTCCTTGGGTATCAAGTAGGGCTCGACTTGCTTCAGTTTGCAGCTGGCCTAAAGCAAGAAAGCAATTCGCAAGCTGGGGCCACACTTACGCACTAGTCAAGGAATCCACGGGCTTTCAACTCGATATTAGCACACGGATTCAGAGTTTACTACACAAGTGGCGGTAAGGTGAGGATGGGGTGGCTCAAACCCAAACCTCACAAGATATGGAAGTATACTAACGCTACCGTACGAGGCTGTTAACCAGATAAAACCCTCACACCCAGCCCAAGTGTGACAGGTTGAACGTGTGACCTCAAGAACCAGCAGTGCGGACAAGATACCTTTTACGCCAGTTCTTGAGCCAAAAGTCAAGTTGCAACAGCAAAATGGGTTAAATGACACGTGTACATAAAGGACGTCATGACATGTGGTGATTTCACACACAAATAAATAATTGTGAATTGCATGTTTCCCTCCCGCTGTTTGAGGGATTCGGTCTTGACACCAGCCACGTCAGAAGCGTTCCAAAAAAAGTGTGTGTGTATATATATATATATACACAGTATATAATTTTGTGATTTTTTGGTGTTTCCTTCCCACCTTTCTTGGCACCAGCCACCTCAGAAAAGTTAGCATGGAAGCAAAAAAGCTGTTTTTGCGTTCCTCAAGTTTTTTTCATCAGCATCCAACTTATTGACACAGCTTGGAGAAACATGTTTTCTGACGGGAGAATAGACGATCATGAGGGTTTTGTATTGGGCACAGCCCTATTTAAGATTAACCCAAGTCATGGTCAACCATCCAGCAGTGAGGATTTGATTGGAACCACTCTCGGACTCTGCCAGTGAACTTGGTTATCCTGGGTCGACCAACTAAACCCTTGGTCCATGTTTTTTTTGGCTGGGGTCTTTTGATTGGAAAGATGGGATTAAATAGACTATATCACTGCAAGGCTTGGCAACCATGGAATACAATCCCAAATACTCGCCATGGATGTTCCATTGGATTATCTTAACCCTTACACCGCCATTCTTGCACTATACATTGCCACTTTTTTGTATCTCATTTTGATCGGGGGGGAGTGGGATGAGCCAACCAACAACAACCCCGGATAATCAACTCTGCTGATCTTTGAAAATTGGGTAGGCCACAAATTTATATCAATTTATGCCAGGTGTTAATCAGGAAACTTATGGTTCCAACGCCATCAAAGTGTGCAGTACCCTTAATTATGCCAATTAATCCCTTCGGCCTAGTATTAGATACCCGCCCAAACGAAACTCTGGTTTAGTGTTGGATCTATTCATTTTACGGTCCCTAGTATGAGAAGATATTTGATATGATCGGGGGGTGGATTACGACCCATCAACCCTGCCCCCAAAAAACAGTTGGTGCTCGAATGTGTTATATCCCCATTATCTATATACCCAAAAAATTGATGCTTATAAATGGATATACCCATGGGGTGTCCTAAAATGGTAGTACCATCAAATCATCCATTTATAGATGGGATTCTCCATGAACCAGCTTTTGGGGTACCCACATTGCAGGAAACCTCCATATGAGCCATGGTCAATACTCACTATATGGTTGATGGTCATCCCATCCATAATAAGGATCCTTTTTTCATGGTTATTATAAATCCCTATGAACCATTGGATGACTAGCCCCTATTAATGGTTATTAACCATGAGTATTGACCACAGCTCATATGTCCACAACAAAACGTTGGCCATAGATCCACCCATAGCATTCCGCCAAGGCTCTTCTCCTCGCCCATCCCAGCACCAGGCTGGGGCCCCATCATGGTGCGCGGGAGAAATGCGGTCATTCCCGGTTGAAATGGGATAGCGGTCGCCTGGGCCCAGAGGATTTTGGGGACTCTGGCATGGTTTATTATGATCATGTTATTACTTATTATTGCTATTGTTGTAGTCATTATTATTATTGTTAAAACGATGTTTGTTATTACCACTATTGTTATCGTTATTGTTATGTTATGATTGTTATGGTGGCTATTACATGATATTACTATGATTATCTATGATCACGATTTGACTACTATTATCAGCTTTACGAGACGGGTGTGTTACCACGTTATAAACAACAATTTCTCAACCATGTTTTGAAATGTCAAAACCAGTTTATAAAAACCTTGCTTACCATTTTCAAAAAATGAATTTACAGCATTTTATATCGTAAGTCTTCTTGGCGTGAATCTACATTGATCTGTTTTGGAGGGCCCAAAGTGATGGAGGGCCCAAAATATGTATATAAAATATATTTATAAAATATGTATATAAAGTATGTATATAAAATATATTTATAAAATATGTATATAAAATATATTTATAAAATATGTATATAAAATATATTCATAAAATATATTTATAAAATATATTTATAAAATATATTTATAAAATATGTATATATATAAAACATATTTATGAAATATGTATATGAAATATATTTATAAAATATGTATATAAAATATATTTATAAATATGTATATAAAATATATTTATAAAATATGTATATAAAATATTAAAATATATTTATAAAATATGTATATAAAATATATTTATAAAATATGTATATAAAATATATTTATAAAATATGTATATAAAATATATTTATAAAATATGTATATGAAATATATATATATAATATGTATATAAAATATATTTATAAAATATGTATATATATAAAATATATCTATAAAATATCTATATATATATATTCAAAACGCTGTTGAGATCCAAGTATATAACGTAGTAATGTAACAACCAGAAAATGCATACCATCTCTAAACGTGGTTGCACCACCGCCTGTCAGCTTTACCACATGAATTTCATCAACATCGACGAATGGCGCAGAGCCCTTGCGGCATCGGCACCTGCATCTGTTGTGGCGCCACCATTGGTACTGCAAAACTTCCATTGCCTCAGAGTTGCTGCTGTGCGGTGTAAGAATGGCAACATGATTCCCTTCGACAGTCCCCAAGTGCTGGATTTAAGAAACATTAAAAAAATACATTACAAAATACATCGGTGCCAATCGGTGCGTCCAAATTTGGGGGTCTACATTTTGCCAGGAAAAACACACTTGGACACCTCCTCAACGCGCAGCAAGCCCAAGTTACCCATTGGCTGCGCGAACGCACCCATGGGCGCTTGTCCTCCTTGAATCTGTGCCTCAGATCTGTATGGTGATCAGCAACCGATTCCGCTGGGCCCTGGCTGAAAAACACATGGATCGTCATGAGGAGACAACACCACCTCTCAACGGTGGCAACGGTGGAACTCAACCAAGGGGCCATTGGCACAGCTTGCAGAAACTGCATGTTCTGCATAGTTGCCATGCGAACTCAAACTCGTAACTTGGGTGACCCTGATGAGCGACCCTTGAGCACACAAGCTGCAAAAAAAATGCGAGTGAATGGTCGGTTTGCCCCCCACCATTTGACACCAGCCACCCCATAAACATGTACATGGAACAAACATCAAGTTTGTGTGTGAATTGTGGATGTGTGTCCAAGCTTAGTTCAATGGAATGACCCTTTTTCACGCAAAATTCTTCCAAATGATCACTTTTTAGTACAATGTTGAACAAGAAGAAAACACCAATCATTTTGGAATTCTGGCAGAATCTTATTATGGGGGCAGCCATTAGAGATGTTAATACATTGACAGGACAGGCGTCTCGAGACCGGTCTCGGCACTAGCCACTCCAGAATCGCTAAACTAAATAATACTAAACACATACCTGTTTTTCTTTTGCAGTTGTGCTGCTTCCTCAGCACCATTTCAACCATGTCTGGATTTTAGGCCGCCATTGGAGGGCTTCAGTCTTGACACCAGACAGAGCAGGAAGGAAACAAATCCAAAACCATCGAAAACCCTGTTTCTCTTCACCATGTGAAGGATTGGGTGTGACACAAAAGGCCACTCAAGAAACCTTAACCGTAACAACCAACAACCAACAACCAGTTCGGACGGGCCCCCGTGGTGCAGCGACAACAGCTGAGCTTACGCACTGGAAGAAATACACAAAGACCAACTGCGACAATGCTGGCACCATGACCAGCACCTGCAGCCCACTGGCAGCAGTGGATCAGGGCGTCCTGATCCAATTTGAACATAGACCTGGTTCGACCACATCTCTCGACTGTTGAACTTGTTAGCTTTCCTTTTCACACCTTTCAAAGACACTCTCTTGGCAAGGACTGTTCAATAACCATACCATCATGATTTACCCATGCCAAAGATGGATACAGACTGCCGGTAAACCAACAAACATTGAAAAATCCGCTAGTAGTATCTTCTGCGACTGCAGTATAAGATCGGATACTTTTACATATATAATCTCAAAACGATCAATCTTTCGGGGATTCGAAAGCACCTTTCTCCAGGCATCCCTACCACATCTGCCGCAAAACTCGCCAGGATGTACGTGGCAAGAGGCATTCCTGCAATGGCCTCAGGTTTCTGGCGGTTTCTGGAAAAAAACAGAGAAATCCATGGGTTTTCTCATCAAAGATAGGGATGACCGATGACCCATTGGATTTTCCCTCCCATCCACTCATTTTCAGATCCACCAAATCAATAGACCCTGGTTGATGAATTACAGCCTGGGCGGGTTGCAAAATCCAGGGCCAACCCGGCTCGCCTGCTGTCGGATGGCACCGCAACACAAGCTGCTGGCTGCATCTACTGCCAGCCCCGCAGGAAGGAAGGCGACCCCTGAGAAACGTTGTTGTTGCCAGTGCAAATGGCCAGTGGGTTATGATTCAAGTTAAAGTTTTACCACTTTAGAATGATATATGCAAGTAATTCATGTGGTATACCCAAAACCATACACCGCAATCTTTTGCGAAAATGGATTATGGATAAACATGGATAAACCATACCCGGCCATACCCCAAGTGGATGATCTAAGGTTCATCAGCCACGGTTTTCCTGTCCAATGGATGGTCCCGATGAGATTCAAACTGAGATCCCCAAACCCAGCAGCGACATCGAAAAGAAGGACCTGTAGCGGTCTGGGGTCCCCAGTTATGGTTGAAGGAATGTTGCACTGGGAATGATCTTCTCCAATACTTGATTGATACATATGTGTATTTTATATATATAATACACATATCATATATACATATCATGCATACATCCCACATGTGAAATATATATATGTAGAGAGGGAGAGAGGCGTGCTATGTGCATACATATGTGTACATATATATATATATTCTTGACATGCATAGACATATCATTATATATTATAATATATATACATGATGTATTAATGATTTTTCATGTATCAGCTGTCCATCAACCAAAAGGGGGGATGCCGGGCAATGCTAAAAGCTCTGTCGACGCGCAACGAAAAACCCCTCTGGAAATAGTTTATCCATCACAGGATTGGAGGCACACGAAGGCATTCACTCGGAACTCCCAAAAAAAATATCAGGTTATATAGTTATATGGGTGTGTCTAAAATTAAGGTACCCAACAAATAATAATAATAATAGTAATAGTAATAGTAATAATAATAGTAATAATAAAGATACGTTGCGAGTTTGGGGTGTACCACCCCATTTTCAGCCACCATACAATGTCAGACAGGATCTTACCATGAGACCAAGAAAAATTTCAGTGGATCAGTGCCCCAGTTCGTCCCTAGTCCCCATCTTGACAACCCACAATTCAGGACGGTTTCTTCCGCCGCAAAGCGCTGACTGATCACACACGGTGTCACAGGTCGGTTCGACACGATGACTGCCTGTTGCAGCTCGTTCCACCACGACCCGATTGTTCGCTTCGCCCGGCGTTCTTTCTGCGGAACGCTTCAAATGCGGAGGTTCCGTCGGACTGGTGATTTACCCTCTGGTAAACATACAAAAAGCTATTGAAAATGGCCATTTATAATCATTTATAGTGGATTTACCCATTAAACATGGTGGATCTTTCCATTGTGATTTCAACCACCAAAAGAACAACGAATCTGGTGATACAGTCAGTTGGGATATACCGGGATCATCCAGATCTTCGCACCCGGTCCGAAGTGGCTCACGGACAGAGGAGGTACTCACCTTACGGTGCAGACAGGGGAGGGTCCGAGGAGGTACTCAAACCTTCAGGTCCGTGGTTACTGTAGATGATTTCCATGTCGCTACAAATGCAGCAACGATAGCAGTACCCTTTGGTGAACTGTTACATAGCAATGGAAAGATCCAGCATTTTTGATGGGAAAATCCACTATTTCTATAGCCATTTTCCATTGCTATGTTAGTTCACCAGAGGGTAACTTGAGTAGAAATCTCTGAAAGAATTTGAAACCAAGAGGGGACCTTCCAGAAGTTGTGACTCAGGCGCTTTTGAAAAAGGGCGTGCCGTGCCCCCAATGTTGTATCTTCTCTTCATTTCAACTAAATTGAACCAATCCCGGTCAAAAAAAAGTCAGCGAACATGCCCATAGATTTAGCTCTGATTCATATCAATTGATCCACTGAAAAATGGAGTCCCCATGCTATTCACGCTCAAAAAAATCCCAACGGGCTCCCTCACGCTCACTGCCCAGAACCGCTTTCCTAGTCTCCTCCACCAAATTCACATCCACGCCTGTCGATGACAGGACATGACGACCACGGCACGAGGCTCACAGGGCTCACATCGCAAAAATCACACAAAAGCACCAAAGAAAAGCATGAAAGACTCTAAGCCCCTAAAAAAACTTGGAGGATCTGATGCAAAAAAAACTCTAACTCCCTAATTCCCCAAAAAAAATCGAGGATCCGAAGGGGTTTTTTCCACAGAAATCAACGGATTTAAGGAAAGCCTTCAGCCGCTGCATGCATCTCAACGCGTTTGTATTGCCTGCAGCGGCTTGGCTCAGTGAGTTTGACCACCAGGAACCAATCTTATATACGTATGTGTATATGTATATATATAATATAATATATATATATATATTTAATATATATATATATAATATATATAATATATAATATATATATATAATATATAATATATATAATATATAATATATATAATATATAATATATATATATAATATATACCAATATATATATAATATAACATAATATAGTTATATTATGTATACTGTATATGGAGTATTTCATATAGAAATGGGGATATTCCATCGACAACTGTAGATAACTGGGATATTTCATATGTGCCATGGTCAAATTACATAGGTCATATGGGTTATGGTCATTCCATCAGTCTTCAGAATCCTGAAAATAAGGCCATTGTAACTCCAATAACTCATGGTGTTATGACCCTGTATGACCATGGCATCCCTGATGGTTCATCCGTATTATCCCCTTGGAGGCCACTCTTAAAATATAGCGAAATCCTGCACCACCAAAGTCGTTGAAGGTGTGCGTGTATGTATGTATGTATGTATGTATGTATGTATGTATGTATGTATGTATGTATGTATGTATGTATGTATGTATGTATGTATGTATGTATGTATGTATGTATGTATGTATGTATGTATGTATGTATATAATCATAATATATAAAGTATGTATATATATATATGTGTATATATATATGTATGTATATATATATATACAGATATATATATATATATGATATCATGATATATATATATATATGCAATATATCATATGATATTATACAGTGGGTAACTTTGCATACAAACACCACATGTCCTTCCCGTGATGCACTTTCCGCCCCCAAAGTGCAAATCCCAGGCACTGCACTAACTCGGCCCCCGGAGTTCCAGAGACCAACGCGGAGATGTCCTGAGGACCACCGGACCACCCTGGGAATTTTCACCCATTTTTCAGGTGAGTTGAGTGAGTTGTGGCAATGGATGAGACTTCCGGAGTGAAAAAAAATCCTGACCTTAAAATCCGTGGGGACAATTTTCAATAAATTTTCAGCAATGACTCTTCAAGCAATGACCCGCAAACATGTGATCTTCGGACTTTAGACTTCCGAGGTCTTTGAGGTTCCTTGGCACTTCGACCTGTGCCATGGTCAAAACATTTTCTTTATGGCCTATGGTCATTTGACCCATATTGGGAATCCTTATAATGCGTGTGTGTGTATATATATAATATACACAATATAATATACATATATATATTATCCCTTTTTGACTATTAATGGATTGATGACCATCTTCTTTTGTGGAAATATAACAATGTTTTTGACCATGGAACGTAGATTTCCCAACGGAAACTCGATCAAGAATGGTGACTTGCGGCCATTGAGATTTGGGACATGGCCACGAGAATCTTCAATTTAGTGGTTTCCTAAAATGGGGGACCCATTTATCATCATCCAAAATCATTCAAAATCCGTTGTTATCAATCAAAAACGAATGGTTGGGGTTACCCATAGTTTTGGAAGCCACCATTTGGACATGATCTTTGCATTGAAATGTATTGTGGGGAAGTTGGGAAATGGGATTTGGCACCCAGACCTGCGTCATGGAGTTGGGCACCATTATTCACCAGTTGAGGTCATGATCTGTATATTGCTGGTCAGTATTTATGGTTTCTCCCCATCACCAACCAGGAAATACTCTCTGGAACTGAGATTCTCCTTGCTGTAAGATTTCGGGAGGCTTTGTTTTGCAGAAAAAAATGGAACCAAAAAAGTACAGGACAACAATAAACCTGCCCCTATTATAAACAGCTTCCCAGAAACCCTGGTTTAGTACATACTGTTATGGATTTATTTTGGCTTCCACAATCAACAAGCCTGAGGGGTTTTTCTCTATGCGTTTCTATGTGATATTGGGGATCCCAACCAACCAACCAACCAACCAACCAACCACCCAGCCAACCAACCAACCAACCAACCAACCAACCAACCAACAACGACACCACTCTGGTTGAATCCCCAAGATTTCGGCTCCAAGAATCCGAGGCTATACAATGGAAGATCTCGACATGCAACTCATGGCGCGACGGTAGCTCAGGAGCCGCATAGCGTCCTAAAAAAAATGGGAGATCTTTGGGAGGTGTGGAAATGGGGAGATCGATCAGATTTCCAGCCAATCTTAGATGCCCTGGAACAAATATATATATATAATAGATATATATATATAATAGATATATATATATATATATTATATATACATATACATACGTTGTTTGTCCTGCTGCACATTTTTTGTCCCCTCATGGATGGCAAGAAATCCGAATGATGACACAGCCGACTCAACCAAGGTCTACCCAAGAATTCGCCACTACCACAGTACCCTTGGCTTCCGGACGATGCGTATGGATGTTGTTGGACACAAGCTGCAGGTAGTACCTACCAAACCAATCTGGCAGCTCCCGAGAGAGGCACAGGTCATTCCATGTCATTCCTATGTACCCTCCACCAACATGTGTATATATATAGTATATGTATAATTATAATTATATATATAATTACGATTTGGAGCATGAAAACCTTCATTTGATAGGGGATTTCTCATCGCCATGTTTGATTACCGTAGCATGACAATCACTCACCTGGTAGGTTTCTGTTTCTTGGACTGCGGGGCGCGATGGCTGCACCCCATTGTTGTTGTTTACTAGCCAAATGTTGCCGACTATCGATCCAGAGATACTGCGTTGGGCTGGTTAAAACTGCGCATGTACAGTACTAGGTAGCAAATTTCGTGGTTCAGTCATGTTCATCCATTTTTTGATGAAACCCCCAAACATCATCCGCAATTTTATCCACCAAACCGAGGAGATCTGGCAACTTATTGCCTGCTTCAATCACCTAAATCCATGATCATCAATGAAGATTCCACTAGAATCATGGTTCATCATGATTAATACTAAAAGTAGACAAGTCAATCTGTCCTTAAACCTTCACCCATGCCCATTTTGATGTTCAAACAACTTCAAACCATCAGTTTTTCATAGTTTTTCTAGAATCCCTAGAATTTTCCATAGAATTCATGTGGAAGCCTCAGTTTTCCCATGTTTTCCCATGGTTTTCCCATGGTTTTCCCAAGAAAAGCCCATGGGAAAAGCCGGGAATGGCGCCGCGCCTCCCCGCGGCCGTGCTGAGCTGTTCCGCCGTGCTGAGCGCCATCAGCAGCGCCTCGGAGGCCCGAACATCGCCCAGGAGCGCCCGCGCTGCGCCTTCAGGGGGGCCATAAGGAAGTTTTCATGGGATTACCTGACAATTAATGTTGATTAATGGTCAGGTATAATGATTAATATAGTGATATTATGATTAATGGTGATTATTATGATTAATATTAATGGTGATTATTATGATTTGGTGATTTTCTATAGTTATGTTACTGTAAACGTTTACCAGAGGGTTAAAAAAAATCATTGAAAATCCAAGTTCCATCCCATGGGTTCCATGGAACATCATCCCACAGGTCTCCACAGGTCCCCAGGTGGGATATGGAACATCAACAATATTTCAAACAACCAACCAGAACTATACTTACCAGGAAAACAAACAGGGTGCTTGTAGATACCGACTAATACCTATCGATTCGATTGCGAATTTCAGCACTCCCACACTTTTGAATCAGCGAAAAAGAGAGAAGCGACACTGTGGTATGAGCTGACAGTTGACAGTTGAAGTAGCCAAAACACTGGAATTCCGCACAAGTTGTTTTTTTACCTCTGACAGAGAGGAATGAAACGAACGACGTGAACAATAAAGCCAAACTGAGAATCATATACCTACGGACACAATCCATAAAAGAGGCTATCATTATCTTCACTAGTCACTATTGTTTTTTCACGAGTATATCCATGCCATAATCTTCGTTAAAATTATCCATTCTCATATATTCTCATGTGGCTGTGTCTGAAAACGGGACAGAACCCCCAAAATGGCAAATTTCAGTAGCGAAACTGGTGATAAAGCAGCAATGTGGTAAACCCAATATCAAACCCTCCCCAATAAAGGTTTATCGTTGAGTATACCCCCATTTGGGATTCGGATGTTGTAAAATGCCCCCATTTTTGCCTGGTCAATGGGATGGTACCAGGCCAAGGTACCAAGGTTGTTCCACAGCACGGGGTTTTGAGGCGCTAAGTGCAAGGCTTCTTGCCAACAGTCCGCAGCCTGAGAAAAACATGCGGGTGTCACCTGGGATGGTCAAGCCTCTTCACCTGGAACTGTATAGAACCAAATCTCAATCTAATATATGTGTATATATATATACTTGTATGTGTGTATATATAATGTATATATATATATATACATATATATACATATATATATATACATATATATATGTCAATGTATGTACATTACACACAGTACAAGTATAATAAAGTACACAGTATACTGAGGATCTACGAGGTTCAAACGAGGTCCCAATTGGCTCCGAACATGTTCCGGCTGAAGTGCAGTCGAATACACAGTCACAAGACATGAAACACAAACCTACAATGTGGGGCCCCCAAACGTTATAAGTTGGTTTATAACCCCATCTAACTATGGTTATAACTACTATAAACCCTAGTTATTGTAGTTATAAGCCAACTTAGCTATCGACTGGGGGCCCCACATTGTAGCAAAAGAGGTTTTCACGAAACCACGTCAAACAAAACCAAGAAGGACAGTGACAATGACACACCAAAAAGAAAGTAGGACCACGCTGCAAAATCTCAATTCGAAGTGCCATGTGCCTAGGCAAGAAACAGAATCATGGCAAGAGCACACAGCTTATGGCACGAGTGTTCTCTTGTTCTGCAAGTTCACCCATGGTTAAACAAAAAAGCAGTTACCATCATTTAACTACAATAATATTTATACATGGATCTTTGAGATTCTGTGATGATTGTTTAGAAGTTTACTCCAGGGTTTCTCAGTTTCTCTGAGAATGGGCTAACCCATTGCTCCTTGTGAGGGTATCTCCCGTTAAATATTCCCATTATCCCATAAATGATCTCATTCTCCCTATTTTAAAGCCATATATAAACCATATATATATATAACCATATTGTCCCATTCACATCCCATTTTCATATGGGGGTGTCCTATGTTTCCTGAAATAGGGGTACCCCCAAATCATCCATTTCCATGGCATTTTCCATGAAATAAACCCTCCAGCTATTGGGATACCCCCCACACTGGCCCACCTCCACTACCTCCGAGCGGTGGAAATGGGCGAAGCCCAGCGCATTCAACAGGTGCACAGGCAGCTCCGCAGGCGCGAACTGAGGAGCGAAGAGCGGCCGGAGCTCGGGGGATCAAAAAACCTTGGGAAAAACCTTAGAAAAACTATTTGAAAAAAAAATGGTGGAAAAAAATGTTTATGTATTCCCAACATATCCCAACTATCACTCAAGCACCACCAGGTAACATATGGCCGCAACATCATCTTTATCCGGTCTTGATCTTCCTCCAAGCACCATTATCCATGATTCCCGCCCTGCGCCTCTTTTTCCCTCATGTCCTCGTCTTCACTTTGTCCCCTATCCCCTTAGTTTTTCAAAAAAATGGGCGATGCCAAATTCAATGATTTTCGAAAATCATGTTCCCCATTTAAATTGATATAGATATATATAGGTACTGTAATCCCCTTTCCGAACAAACCCATCAAACCCATCTCCAGCTCCACCTCCAACCTCCCAACCCCCAACCTTTGCTAGACTTTTTCCAAGAGATGTTTTACAAGAACCCATCGGTATTTCCAGCAAATCTATCCTTCAACTTTTGCCCTTCAGATCCTTCAACTTCCGGGAAACCTTTGAATCACCACCAAATTCACCATGGTTTTCCTCATGTCTGGGCCCACCACACCCCAGCCCCAGGGGCCCCAGGGCCCCAAACCCCCCTGGCGCCACCTGCCCCAGGACCCCAATGGCTTCCTCAAAGCGCCGCGCGCAGACCAGGGCGAACCCCAACTCCTGGCGCAGCGCCTCAGTGTCCTCGAGGCTCACGGTGCCTGGGCTACAGCTGGAGCATGGAAAGTCGCCTGGCAAAAAGATTGTTTTACTGTATATTGTTTTTACCCTCTGGTTATTTAACATAGCCATGGATAATGGCCCATTTATAGATGGTTTACCTGGGTTTACCTATTAAAAATGGTGAAATGGTGATTTTCCATGGCTATGTTAAATAACCAGATGGTAATTTTTAATATGTTTTTAATAGTATACATAAAATGGATTGAGACAGCTGGGTCATGGATATTCTTCCAGACTTTTGTTGATGGTTTTCTTCTGAAATCATCCAAGAATATCCATAGATATCCAATGTACGACAGGCGAAAATCTGATGTGGGGATCTGAAACTGTCCAATTTGACCACAGCGACTTAACCAGGTTGACTCTCTACTCCCAGTCTGCCACCCTGTTTTTTTGGGATCGAAGATGTCCATCTACAAGTTCCAACAAGGTCCTCTTCCAGGCCCCACTTTTTTGCGCTGGTGGTTTCAATTCTTGGAGAATCTAACGGGGGATCTGGAAAGAATGGATATGTGTCCACAACCAGCAGCTAGATATGTGTTGGTTATACAATCCCCAGGTTTGTTGGTTGATTCTCCACGAATTGGTTAAATCTGCATGTTTGCTGGTTAAACTATGCTAAACTCCCCATATCTTTGTTGTTGAATCATGGGTAACTCCACCAACTGAGATGTGCATCCCAATAATGCTAGCTGGCTGACCCATATATATATATGTATGTACATATATATATATATATGTATATATATATATCATATATGTATGTACATATATATAGGTATGCATTATAACTTATTTTACTTATTGTCCTCTATATTGCTTTGTGCATTGTATTCTTGAAGTTATGGTTAATTGGTTATATAAAAATGTTGAAAAGGGGAGGTCCGAAATCATCCCCTAGCCATATATATATATGTGATATATCATGTATATAACAGGGAATGTTCACCCCATACCTGGTGCATGGTTGATTTACCCAACAAAAACATCCACCTGTGATGGGCACCACTCATCCAGGCGGCTGTTCGCCAGCTCCAAAGCCCTGCCAAAGAGCTGTGCTGCGCCCTGGCAGTCCGACACTGACAGCTGCAGGTGACCCAGCTCTCGCAGCCTACGAAAAGTGACGTGGCGAAAGGAACGCACGTTTTGGACTTCGGGGTCCAAAAATGCTGGAGTTCACCTACAACATCTGGGATTCAAAATTATTGAAAACAATGGTTTTAATCAAGCAGATAGGAGATTTTAAGAGCCATATGTGGGTTTTGCCACTTACAGTATCAATTGGTTTAATCAGTTTAATCGTCAAATTTGGGAAGATTATTGGGATGTAACCTAGCATGATGAGGATTAATGGGTATTCAGACGCGGATGTTTTCTGGGATTCATCCAACAAACGATGAGGGCTTGACCAACTATTTCATGGGGAGACACTTGAAAATGTGGATTGCACCAAGAAAGTATGAAACCAACCAGAAGGTTGAATATTTCATGGCGCTGATGGCAAATAATGGCATATGATGGGTGTTAAGCGGATAGATACAGTAGCCAAGAGTATGATACTTGGGTTTGCCCGAAAAAAAAACGGGGTTCCCATATGTCGGAATTCCAATGGGGAAACTGATGACAAACCACTGGATGGAATGGGGTACCCTATTTTCAGACAAAACCATTTGGCATGTGATTTTGAATGTGTATATATATATATAATATGTATATAATACATACATATACATATGGATGTTGCTTCGCCAAATTCTTGGAATGCTGATGTCAAGTGGCAGGAAGATCGTCCCATCTTTGGTGGAAGTCTAACCCTCTTCCACAGTGGCCGGGTCCCACCTCCTTGCGTCCCTCCTGAAATCATCACCAGACCCCCATTGATCCCATTTCTCAGGAGGCTGTGGAAAACCAATAAAAAAAGGCCTTGTGATTTGGGTTCACCACAGCCAGTTTAGAGTATAGTAACCATGGTTGGTGATTTGCCCAGGTTGACCATTTCGTGGTCCAATTGCAAAGGACGCTAATACTGATCATTGATCACCACAATCTTCATGGGTGCGTGAATCTGTGTGCGTGTGGGGTCAAACCCTAGTAATTCACTAAACTTTCTAAAAGTGACCAGAATGCATGTGTACCACACTTGGGTATGTCGACCACGAGCAACCCCTTCAGGCAACCTGAGTTGATATAGATCAGAGTTGGATACCCTGAAATATTGGAAAAAAAAAATGGGACCCCTGGGACACCATTTCACCATACAGGAAATCATCCCCAAAATGGCCCAACTAATCTGCTCTTTTTTTGCACCTAAAGTCCTTGAACCCATCCCCTCAAGGCTGCGTCTCCTGGCTTCCCAAGGCTGCGAGACGGAGCCGACGTCGAAGTCCTGATTTCTGGGGACCCAAAATTGCAGAGACAGTGGTCAAAAAAAATGGAACTCCAAGGATCTCTATGTCATATATGTCATATCCAAGACTAGAAAATGGTTTGATATCGTGTGTGATCCCTGCTTTTCAGGCTTCCATCTTAAATTTGTGGGACAGGTTTCGGCCGCCTCCTCTATCTCCCAAGGAGTTGGCGAAGGGGTCAGGTCTCGCATGGCCAGGTACAGCAACCACATCAGGATCACCACGTACCAGGACACCCTCCAGGGCCAAATGGGTCAGAAATCGATCCCCCAACTGTTCAGAAACTCACAAATAGATTTATTGAAATAGATCAAATCCATTGAATTCCCTGGTTGCTTTTTTGTTAGAACATTCCAAATTTCTGTTTGCTGTCTCAACTTTGGTTCGTCATATTTGGTCATGGTTCTTCCCCATCCATCTCTTGTTGCACGGCTGGGCCTTCTATGGCTCGACCACAGCATTGCCAATCGCCCTTTTGACTCTGACGCCGACGGCTTTGCAAGCACAGCTGCAGCAGCGGGTGGCGGCACTGGGGACGGCGGGACGGAAGCGTCTGGTGCCGGCGCTGGCGGTACAGGCAACAGCACTGGCGATGGCGCTGGCGAAGGTGCTGGCAGCTGTGCCGGTGGCTCGAGTGGCACTGGTGGCACATGGCGCAGCCTTATTGTTGTGCAGAGGGTGGATGGTGGGCTGGGGTTGGTTGATGAAGGTGTGAGTAGGGATATCTGCATAGCTTTCGAGGGATTCCTGGGTGAGGAAACAACTCACATTCAGGTCAACTGCACAAGCTAGAAAACTGATCAAAATCAACTTGCGTAGCCCCACTTGGAAAGAGCTGTGGATAGATGATATTCTCTGGGTGTTGTCTTTCGACTCCTAGTGGGAACATCCAAAGATATCCAAAGCCTAGGAGCACTTCGGGTGGCTGAACGATGACCTGGTTCAAGGAATTGGCCTGGCAGACCAGAAATTACCTACCTCCCGGCTACCAATTCGACTTACTGCCTTCTCAGCCCTCCAAAGCACTGAAACGTTCATACTGCATTCAAGACTGTAAAGCCAGCATTCAGACCCCAGGGCGAGACGATGTTCAAAGGATTTCTGATCATCAGAAGGGGCCCAACCTAAGAGTCAAGACAAGCATCCAACCAAAAGGGCGAAGGATCATCCAAAGACTGTAATAATGTGCCATATTCAAACCTATTCCAACTGTCAGTTCTTCAGGTAACCTATAGAATATAATAATGTGTATGTTATATATATATACTGTAAAATATGTGTATATATACATATACATATTCTGTATGTATAAGAATATATACATAATCATACATACTACAATGATTTTTATCATATCATATAACTTTAGAACTACAAAAAAATACCAGATCCATCCCATCCCACTCATCCACCACTCGTGCAACCTCGGCTTCTCGCCGCATGCGCTGCCGCTCCCTGGGTCCCGGCCTTGCCTTGCGCGCGTCGCGTTGAACGACGCCGGCGCCTCGGCGCCACGTGGGGACTTCGATTGGTTGATTCCGTTATTAGCAACCTCCAAAAATCATCGAAAAGTATAGAAATGCCATGAGAAAAGTAACATATCCTGTTTTTTTTTTTAAGTGAGAAATGACATGAAATAACGACTGTTAAATGACTGTTTGGGATTGTTTGGGGGGCTACGTAAAATATATCATAATATATCCATATATTGCGATAACCTGTAGATGCATACACCCAATGGATTGGTTGAAGGGAAAACCGCACTGTTGAAACCAATGGATCTTGAGCCATACAAGTCTTTAATGGGAATAGCTGGGATTTTTCATATGAATCGTTTTAGATCACCGTCCGGAATAGATTCGGAATATTTTCGTCAACTTGAACCATCATTCCAGCTGGGGGGATGAGCATCCATGCGGCATGAAAAACCATATTTGAACCACCAAGACTCAAGGTTTTCTTCGTTGGTTCCGCTGGTGATTTTGCCGATATTCAGAAACGGTATATACAAATATACCCTCTGGTAAACTAACATAGCTATTGAAAATGGCCATAGAAATAGTGGATTTTCCCATGAAAAATGGAGATGTTCCATAGTTATGTTAGTTTACCAGAGGGTATACAATGATTTACACAATCATGCTTGAGGTGCAGAGATATTTGGGCAGCCAAAGTAGACAGAACTCTATAACATGGATATTTTGCAGGGCCGCAATGACAGAATCCCCAGGCAGGCAATGGAATCAATGGAAAATCATCAGCTTCCCACAGTTCAACCAGGCTCTGAGATGCTCTGAGCCAAGTCAGCTAAGTGTCTGTCTTGTGGCGCCATGCAATTCACCAGGAGCTTCATCAAATCCTCGTGTTGTTTCTGCTGCATCATCAGCTGCATCTCCACTTGCTGCATGCTCTGCCCCACCACAGCCATCTGTGAACTCAAGTGGGCGATATGTGCCTCAGCCCATGCTTCGGTGCTTGGGATGTAATTCTCTGTTCACTGCCTGATACACTCATCATGTCCCTATCAGCCGTACTATTCGCTCGGTGAAGTAAAAATGACGGCATCTGTATTTTACGGTTTCCGTATTCTTGTTTTCTTCTTCAAATACCCCAATTTTCCTCACCTGTATTATCACCATCACCATCCCCCAGTGGGCCACGTGTGAACCCCATCTCATGATGGACCGTGAAAGTCAGAACCCAATTCACCCAACCTCCCCGGTATATCACCCGAAATAGATCTATCACAACATCAAAATCGTCGGTAATGGCAGCCCATCACTGTACCACCAAAAAGACTAATCCAAGCATGTCTCACTCCGAATTGCCCAAAAATTAAGCCAAATTCACCAGTGCATGCACCAAGGTTTATGCAGATTATAGAACGTTTTTTGGGTCGGGTAGAAGTGATTTACAACCAGTTTAGTAATGTTTAGTATATATTCATATGAGTGTCACATGACCAACTCCTAGATCGGTCCAGAAATAGGAAATTGGAACTTGGGATTTTTTTGATCGCATGCCGATGCCCCGAATATGAAATACCCCCAAGAGGGGAACCCAAAATGAACAATACGTTCAATCCAATGTGTCGCAGTCTCCTTTCAAGGGGACCCTTTTTGCCAGAAGGATGTGTTATCATCCCTTCCCATCCGACCTGTACCTGCTGCACCTGCTGCTCCACCAATTGCAGGCGCCCGCTCAACGGCCCCACGTCACTCCAGTCCTCTGGGGTGCTCACGCCGGGCGCGCCCGAGTCATCCATGGCATCCTGCGCAGGGGGCCTTTTTGTGAAAAATCATGAACTGATTTGAACTGCTATGAATTTCAGGGTCCACTGGTATTGAGGATCTCTTTTGCTATCGTTTGGTGCAATCTTTTGACAAACAGAGAAGTTGTGTCCTCCGCTGATTCGAAGGAGACAAAGACAAAGGGATGTGCCATGGCTCCGTCAGCACTGCCGGGGTTGAACAGAGGTCTGGACAGGGCGTGGATGATTAAACACTTAGAAGATTCTTCAGCATGTGACATGTGTGGTTGTCTTAGAAGATTCTCCACCGTGTCATAGTCAATTTCGGCCAGGAACTTTGGCTCTAAGTCTCCTCAACAGAAAATATCCATTTGCAATGTCCGTCTTCGTCTCGTGCCTGTGGGAATCTAACAGGTGAAACACCCACTGCGAGCCGACCACGACCAGCCATAACTCGCAAATGTGGGTCAAGATCGACAAACGATTTCATGCATTGTGGAATGCCTCAAAACTGGAAAACCCGAAATGAACGAACAAATAAACACGGAAACAAGATGAAACAAGTAAGTACATAGTTGAACAAATATATGATAGATCATGATAATATATGATAATCATGGTAATAATCATGGTAATAATGATCATGATAATAGTAACATATAGTAACAATGGCAAATCCAGCCCTCTTTGTTCCCTGCAGAAGTGGATGAGTTCCCTTGGGCTTTCCCACCATCCCTGACTTGAAAATGCCAAAGTTCTCTGGCGGTGCGTCAGGGGCAGGGGCCAGTTTGTCACCTTCGCGAACGACAAAGCTTTCGTGGCGCATGCGAAGGTGACGTCCCAAACATCTCCAAAAAGATGGGTTTGTCTGAAAATAGGGTATATTCCCAATTATAGCCATTTAATTTCTGGATAATGATCATTATATAACCATTGGGTTTCGGGGTTTTCTCTATTTTCAGACACACCCATATGGGCAAATCATGCCAAGAATTGCCGTTTTGCTTGCAAAATGATGCTCGAACCCAGTGGACTTTAGGGGTACCATTTTTCCCAACAGCCCTCCACCAGTCCGCGCACACCTCTGGCACGCGGACCGCCGAAACAGAGGCGTCCTTTGGGCACTGCCCGACTTGGAGAGCACCGAAAGCCCCTACTTCTCAAATAAAGCGGAAAAATATGAGTGATAGGAGTTTTGGTTGTCAACCCCCAACAATAACTTACAGTATGCACATCAACATTATAAGTAAGACATCCCAAACGCATTTAATGCTAAAATGTTAACTTCATTTGTCAACACATCCCATCATTAATATGGTAAACGAAAACAACAAATGTTATGCGGTGGTCCAGCGCCGGGGGTAGCAACCAACCATTAAATCATAATTAAAACAATGGTTGATGTTAATGTAGTGCTATAGTAACCCCCAAAATAAAGCTAGAACAGCTGCAATTTCTCACTATGTCAGTGGCATTCTAGCAATGTCTATCTTTTTGGGGGTTGCTTTAAAAAATAAAATCCCAGCAACAAACAATGATGGGCTAGTCCTCAGCCAAAGCCTTCGTGGCCAAGCCCAAGAAGAGCCTGCAGGCTTTACCAACGAATTTTTCTGCTTTGAACCGGCCAAAAAGCGGTGCGTTCAAACGAAAATGTCATGTTTCATCCATGAAACATAGAGTTTTATCCAACAACACATGGTCATTGATGCGGTAACCCGGAAATTGGGGTGATTTATACTTTCTATCATCCATTTAACATCCATTCAACTGGTATTATACCATCCATTCAACTGGTAGCGCCACGGCACGGTGCACTGTGGAAGACCGAGGTGTTCTGAAAGATCGCGAGGCGTCCCCGTGGGCTGCGACTCTTCACATTCAGACCTTGGTCTGGGTTTTCTCGGGAAAATCTTCACCGGAAACATCCGGAAACCATATTAGTTTTCTTATGAAATATTAGGGTGCCCACTTAGTGGCTTATAAGCCCAGTATCAGTGGATGAATGAACCCAGTATAAGTGGATGAACCCTGTCCCGTTTATAACTGGGGTTTTAACCCACTTACGATTCGTGGGATTAGCAACCAAGTAGTCCTAATTGTTTGAGGTAGGATGAAAAGGTACAGTACACTGATTATACTGGGTAAATAATGTTACATAATGCTACAATATAGAAATGGATCTCAGGAATGGCATGGGACAACTAATACCTTTGGTTGGCTCATATTCCCTTGGTGAACCGGATGCAAGTGTGATCTCAGCCCCGGCCAATCTGTGCGCCCCAGGCGTTCTACAAATATGCCGCCATAGCCTGTGGAACGGCCGTTGCCAGCGATTGAAGTTTCAATCGAAAACCACAGGTCTCAGAGCTGAGTTGTTTTTTTGCGAGGAAAAACAAGAATCCAGCAAATTGGTTTAACATATTAACGAAGGAACCGTAGTTTTGGGGATCCCTCATTTTAGAACCACACCTTATGGATTGGAATACCTTCAAACATCGACATGCCGACATGACATGGGGCCACAAATAACTCGGATGATTTTTTGACATCAACCACAGAACCTGCTGTGCGCCTGGATAATTTCGCATGTTTTTTTTCTCTCCAATGATCAGTATAGTGGTTAAACATGATGGTGACGGTGTATCTCCAATGATCTCAAATCATCTCCAATGTCTCTTGTCCCTCAATTATTGGTATATACATATTATATATATATCATATCATTCATATAAATATATATATATATAATTATTTATTTATTTATCTATTTATTTATTTATTTGTTTATATCACATATATATATATATATCATATATTACCATATATTATATTATATTATATTATATTATATTATATCAAATTATATTATATTATATTATAGTATATATTCTATTATAGTATATTATATTATATTATATAATATTATATTATATTATATCATATATAATATTATATATATATTATATAATATAATATAATATTATATTATATTATATTATATCATATATAATATTATATATATATATATATTATAATATGAAATTATATTATACTATATTATGTTATTTTATTTTATATTATATTATGCTATGTTATCTTATATTATATTATATTATGTTATGTTATATTAAATTATTATATTATATTATATCATATATTATAATATACTATATATATAATACAGTATTTAAAAAATGTCCTCCAAAAATGATCTCCAATGATTTCATCGTTACCAAGGCACGCGCGGCTTTCAGCTCATGCCGCGTCTCCAGTAGAGCTTCCGCGAAGGCCTACGACAAGGTCTGGTCGACATCAAAGGCCGTTCAATCATGGTGCCACAGTCGCAACATTGTAGCAACATACACTTCTGGTTCTGATTGGACAAGTTCTGGTCAAATCTACAACAAAAACCAGCATTTCAAAGGAACGTCAACTCCCATGTCAGTGGCAAACCCAACAGCTGTGTCTGCGCAGAAGAATGCAATTTCAGAACTGCTCTTGGTAAAGTTGCACCAGAAACAATTGTCATTTCTCCGTAAATCCAAAGCGGGATTGGCTCCATGGCAGACAAAAGGTATAATAGGTTCTTGAGGTGTCACTGCCACTTAGTCTCCAGGCTCTAGAATTTAGATTCAATTTGAGAAAACATGTTTTTTCTTCCCAATAGTGCTCTCACTTTGTTGCGCGATGTCAGAGTGCCTATATACTGAGATCCTGCTGCAAGGATCTTTTCAGTTCACTCTACAAATCAAAATTGCCTGGAACCTTTTTTCATCATCAAATCATTTTCTGTCCCTCCCATTCTTTATTTTCTTTCTGTTTGGACCCTTCGCTGAGAATAAGATTGTGGATTGGCTGCTGTTCGATTTCGCACAAGAGATCCAGGATTGCCTGTAATCTTTCGGTCGCGTAGAATTCTGTGCTTTTCACATCCGGAGGGCACACATTGCCATATTTTGCCCGCAATTGCCGATGAAGTGACTGTTCTACCAAGCATGTTTTCCTTGTGCTTTGATAGAGATGGATAGCTTCGACCTTTTTCATTTCCAGTGGGGCAAAGCAGATCTTATATTGTCTTAATCTGCTAGCTGATTAAAAAACACCAGGGCAAAAGCTGGACCCTACCTTTAACGCTGTATGCGTTTTTGGTTTGAAAAGCAAGCAGTACATGGATGACCCCACAAACACTGTCGGATAATCGAAAGTCTTGGCCGGCCAGTTCTTCCTCGATTTTGCGCTGCAGTACGTCCATTGCCCAAACCATCTTGAAGTGATCTTCTTTATGGCAGATGGCTTCATGCAAGTTTTTCGCAGAAACTCCAGGCTCCTGTATTCCGGTACAGGCGGGTCCGGATGTGACGGCGCAAGGCGAGGATCATAGTTCAGCACCTGACAATGGAGGAGACACTGTGTGGGTCCGATCCCATACATATATTTTCACACATATAAACACGTTACTAATTAAATCTCAAATGGATTAGATCAGTCCAAGACACGGCTTGCACGAGTTCTGTTGTTGACCGGCTCCACCAATCCAGAGCTTCAGGCTTGGGGTCGTTGAAAGGCCAAAGCTTTCTATAGATCTTGAGTAACTCTTGCCATTCTGAATCTGAAAATGTTGTTGTCAATTTTCGACGGTTAGTGACACACTGGACCTGTTGATTGAATCTCTCCATCAGTTGCCAGCCTTTTGCACTCATCTCTATTTTGTTTTGTTGTATCTGACCAGGTATTGGGGGAGCTCTCCAGGGAGAATCTGAATGGCCATACAAGCTTTTATTTTCTATAGTGAAGCCGATGTAGTACAAAACTACAAAGCAACTCCAAATCGTATTACACTCGCATCCCTCATATACAGACAAGAGAGATGTTTCCGTAAGATCATGGTCAGCAACAGGAAGTTGAGCGCCCTCGGCATTTGATAGAATATGCCGCATCTCTTCCCTCAGTTCTTCCTTGGCAACCTCAAAACGTTTCTCCCACATTTCCTTTGTAGCTTTTCTTTCAGCTTCTTATTCTATCAAATGCCACAGGTTCAACAGATGCAAGGGTGCCCGACGGCGCTCAACTTCCTGGTACTGACATTGATCAAGGCCTTGCTTTTTTCTTCGGCGCGCAAAAGACCTAGCCTTTGATTTAGAATCATGTTGTCACGTTCCAGTAATTGTGCAGACCGTGTTTCTGCAATTGCTCG